TCCAGGCTTAGCGCCCGTTGAGGGTAGGTCTGAACTCGCACAAATACTCTCTCAGATATTTCTTTGACACGTGTGTGCGCGAGCCGCTCCAGCTGAGAGCCCTCATCGCATCTAGCACTTCATCCGGGATGTCACAAGTGTGTGTTCTGCAGGTTTGTGGGTGTTTTTAATCCGTGTGAGAGAAAGAGAGAGAGTGTGAAATCTGAAGTAAAGGTCAAACGGGCAGTGAATTCAAGAAGCGGCAAGTGAGAAATGAACGTGTGATCGGAGCACTGCTTTGCTTTTGCTTCTTTGGGAGTTTGTTTGTCATTTATTAATAAAAGCTTGAGTCCTCCTCGCTGTAAAAAAAGAAAATAATAGATAATTGTGGAATATAAAATGGAATAAATTAGAATTTTATAGAACATTTCATCTTCACGATTTGGCACTGTTTAAATCAAAACTTAAAACTTTTTATTTTGACTGGCTTTTGATATTTAGTAGTGCAAAATATTGCTTTATTGACACTCTTAGATTGTGTTCTTACCATCTTTTGTGTTGTAATGTGTAAATGTAATGTGTTCACTTTGGGCAGCTCTCCGGTTGTAATAAGGTGCTATATAAATATATATAATAAGGTGCTGTATAAATATAATACATAAAAGTTGATTTATTGATTGATAAATCATGAGACTGATTGTAATTTTTCAGACATTTTAGTCAGTTTAAAACATATTAATTTCTAAAAAATGTAATACTATATTAATATTATATTACATCATTCTAAGTAATATAAATATTATTTTAATATTAAATAATAATAATAATATTAATATAGATTCTTAATATATTTAATATTACTATTACTATTAATAATAATAACAATAACTATAAGGAGCCATTTTTAAATATTAATTAGATAAAACAGTTTTTTTAAATACTGTTTTCATTTGCATGCATACGAAAAATTTGAAAGTAATATTGTAGGGAAAAAAATAATATAAATATAAATCGAGAGACTGCACGATATGAAAAAAAATGTATAAACATAAAAAATGAATAAAATAAAATATGCTTTTATCAAATATGAACTTGAAATTAAATGCACTTATTAAATGTCTTATTAAATCTGATTAAATTATAATTTAGTCTCCTTAGCCTCACAAAACATGAATAAAAGTCAAAGCAACAATGAGAAATGTGCTAAATTTGGACAAGATCCCTAAATTAGAAGCTCTGAATATACACTCACCGGCCACTTTATTAGGTACACCTGTCCAACTGCTCGTTAACGCAGGTTTTTAATCAGCCAATCACATGCCAGCAACTCAATGCATTTAGTCATGTACACATGGTCAAGACAATCTGCTGCAGTTGAAACCGAGAATCAGAATGGGGAAGAAAGCTGATTTTGCTGATTTTGATGTGACATTGGCGACGCAGTGGCACAGTAGGTAGTGCTGTCGCCTCACAGCAAGAAGGTCGCTGGTTCGAGCCTCGGATGGGTCAGTTGGCGTTTTTTTGTGGAGTTTGCATGTTCTTCATGCGTTCGCATGGGTTTCCTCCGGGTGCTCCGGTTTCCCCCACCGTCCATAGACATGCGGTACAGGTGAATTGGGTAGGCTAAATTGTTTATAGTGTATGAATGTGAATGAGTGTGTATAGATGTTTCCCAGAGATGGGTTGTGGCTGGAAGGGTATCTGCTGCGTAAAAACGTGGCGGTTCACTCCGCTGTGGCGACCCCGAATAAATAAGGGGACTAAGCCGAAAAGAGAATGAATGAATGAATGAATGAATGAATGAATGAATGAATGAATGTGGCAGCCAGATGGGCTGGTCTGAGTATTTCAGAAACTGCTGATCTACTGGGATTTTCATGCACAACCATCTCTAGGGTTTACAGAGAATGGTCCGAAAAAGAAAAATATTCAATGAGCGGCAGTTCTGTGGGTGCAAATGCCTTGTTGATGCTAGAGGTCAGAGGAGAATGGGGCGAACCTTGAGGCAGATGGGCTACAGCAGCAGACGACCACACCGGGTGCAACTCCTGTCAGCTACGAACAGAAAACTAAGGCTACTGCACAGGCCACCAATATTGGACAATAGAAAATTGGAAAAACGTTGCCTAGTCTGATGAGTCTCAATTGCTGCTGTAACATTCAGATGGTAGGGTCAGAATTTGGCATCAACAACATGAAAGCATAGATCCATCCTGCCTTGTATCAACGGTTCAGGCTGGTGGTGGTGGTGTAATTGTGTGGGGGATATTTTCTTGGCACACTTTGGGCCCATTAGCACCAATTGAGCATTTTGTCAACGCCACAGCCTATCTGAGTATTGTTGCTGACCATGTCTGTCCCTTTATGACCACAGTGTACCCATCTTCTGATGACTACTTCCAGCAGGATAACGCACCATGTCATAAAGTGCGAATCATCTCAGACTAGTTTTTTGAACATGACAATGAGTTCACAGTACTCAAATGGCCTCCACAGCCACCAGAGCTCAATCCAATAGAGCACCATGGATGTGCAGCCGACAAATCTGCAGCAACTGCGTGATGCTATCATGTCACTATGGAGCAAAATCTCTGAGGAATATTTCCAGTACCTTATTGAATCTGTGCCACGAAGGATTAAAGCAGCTCTGAAGGCAAAAGGGGGTCCAACTCGGGACTAGGAAGGTGTATCAGAGAGTGGCCAGAGAGTGTCTATATTTACCAGTGAAATTCACAGATTCCTATTGGTACATAAGTGAAATAAAAAAAATTGCTGAGCATCAGTAAATGTGACCTGCCGTTTATATTTACAGCCTATCGTTCACACTTAAAGGAGAAGCATTGCTTTTCTCTCCTTAAGCAAGACAGTAAATTTGGCAGACACAGAAAGTATCGGCGTGTTCTTCACATTACCTTGGAGGAAGATATAAATACAGGTAATCTTTCATTTCCCTGGTTTTCATTAAAGCGACATTGTATTGACACCAGACATCTGTTATAGGGTTTTATTCACAAGGGATTTATGGCTGTAAAACGGGCTTGTGTTTGCTAGGCAGAAAAAGTGTTTTATAGTGTGCAGTCTAATAAAAACTTCTACTCCAGAGAATATTTTGTTCCCCTGATGTTTTTTTCTGACAGATTTTGGTCAACTTAAGCAGAGTCAGACTGATTTACTTACTGACTGAACCGTACAATCAGCCTTTCATCATATCTAGAAGCAGATACTTTCTGTTTTCACTTACTGTTTGCATTTTAGTGCATCCATCTGTCCGTCTGTCCATCTGTTAGTTACAGTGCTCGTTTTGTTTTGTTTTGTTTTGTTTTTTATCTGTGACTGTCTCTGCTCTGAATATTAATGAGTAAGCACTGTGTGGTGTGAAGAAAAAATGCTTCTAATCGTAGGCATGTTTCCATTACAGATTTATAAACTTATTTTATTTATAAAATACTTTAAAATGATAAGCTTTTTTTAATTTTTAGATATTTTTTTCCATTAACCACTTGTTGTTTAACTAAAACTCACTCTATAACTCCCCTCTCACATTGTCATTTTTTAAACACACAAGCTTAAAGGTATATTTCACTAGAAAATGTAAATTTACTCACTATTTACTTTCCCTTAGGTGGTTTTAAATCTTTGTTTTTTAAGTCAGGTGAACACAAAAGAAGATATTTTGAAGAATGTTAAAAACCTATAACCATTGACTTCCATAGTAGGAATAAAAATACTATGCAAGTCAATGGTTACAGGTTTTCGGCATTCTTTAAATTATCTTCTTTTGTGTTCAATAGAAAAAAAGAAACTCCATAATTTACTTTATCTTCACTTGCTTCTGTTCGAGTTTCTTTCTTCTGTTTAACACACACACACACACACACACACACACACACACACACACAAATGATTTTTTGAATAAATCTGAAAACTTGTAACCATTGACTTTCATAGTAGGAAAAAAATACAATGGAAGTCAATGGTTACAGATTTTAAGCTTTCTTCAAATTATCTTCTTTTGTGTTTACTCATTCATTAATTTTCCTTTGGCTTAGTCCCTAATTTATCACGGTCCGCCACAGCGGAATGAATTGCCAACTATTCCAGCATATGTTTTACGCAGTGTATGCCCTTCCAGCTGCAACCCAGTGCTAGGAAACACCCATACAGACTCATTCACACACCAACTCATACACTATGGCCAATTTAGTTCATCCAATTCAGTTAAAAGAAGATATTTTGAAGAAAGTTGAAAACCTGTAACCATTGACTTCCATAGTAGGAAAAAAATACAATGGAAGTCAATGGTTACAGATTTTCAGGTTTCTTCAAATTATCTTCTCTTTAGTTTATTCATTCATTTATTTTCCTTCGGCTTAGTCCCTAATTTATCATGGGCCGCCACAGCGGAATGAAAAGCGTATGTCCTTCCAGCTGCAACCCAGTGCTAGGAAACACCCATACACACTCATTCACACACCAACTCATACACTATGGCTAATTGAGTTCATCCAATTCACTTAAAAGAAGATATTTTGAAGAAAGTTGAAAACCTGTAACCATTGACTTCCATAGTAGGAAAAAAATACAATGGAAGTCAATGGTTACAGATTTTCAGGTTTCTTCAAATTATCTTCTCTTTAGTTTATTCATTCTTTTATTTTCCTTCGGCTTAGTCCCTAATTTATCATGGGCCGCCACAGCGGAATGAAAAGCGTTTGTCCTTCCAGCTGCAAACCAGTGCTGGGAAACTCCCATACACACTCATTCACGCACAAACTTATACACTAGGGCCAATTTACTTATACTGCATGTCTTTGGACTGTGGGGGAAACCGGAGCACCTGGAGGAAACCCACACAGACATGGAGAGACCATGCAAACTGCCCACAGAAATGCCAACTGGCCCAGCTGGGACTCGAACCAGCTGCCTTTTTGCTGTGAGGCGACAGTGCTAGCCTCGCATTATTACATTGCAGTCAAAATCAAATGATTGTGTGTAACGCTCATTTCAATTGTTGCTTTCAGGATTGGACTTTCATGAGGATCTGCATCGAATCGGAGCGAGAGAAGGACTGAAAGGGCGGAAGTTACAGAAGGCCATGGAGAGTTACGCCTGGAACATCACTGTCCTGAAGGTCTGTAGCTTTTCTTTCTTTTATAGACAGAAAGCTGTTTGCACCAAGGTCTCTGCTTTATATATACCTTGTTTAGCATACTTTTGTACACTATCTAATAGGGCTACACAATGCGTTATTTCAGCATCAATATTCTCAATAGTCACAATACAAGATCTGCAATGTTGAGTTTGAATTATAGTTGACCAGGATCTACAGAACACATGCAATTTGTAGAGTCACTGCTAGGTTTAACCATAATAGAGTGAAAGCTTATCATTTGCGTGTGTTTTAAGGCCTGTGACTGAGCTTTTCAAGAGAGTTTGAAACATTTGGGTACAATAAAGTATGATGTTTGGAGGTGCAACAAAGTTTAAATGCATTTAATTATTTATGCAGGAAAAAATAAAAAATTGTGTCTTGTTTTTATTCCAAAAGTCTACTTTTCAAAGCAAAAGCAAGATGATTTTCCCCATTGGCAGATAATTTGGGTTGTTTTATGGAAGAGCTCTTAATTTTGTCTTTGTTCTTCTGAAGGTAAAAGCAAAACAATATTTTTAATTTTTAATTTTTATACTTTGATCTAAGAATTTTTTGATATTTCAACTGGAAACAAGACAAGGGAAATCTTTTTTTGCATTGTGAATATGCAGTTTCTGTACCTGAATACTGTTAAGCGTGTCACACACCGGATGTGCTGCTCAGCGCCGCAACATGGCATGCACATGACAGTTGGAAGTATCGTACACCAGATGAACACATTTTTATGTTATTTAAAGTGAAACTATTCAGATGGCGAACGGTGTACTGAGTCATAGCTGGGCGCTGTTTACAGCCGCCAACTTGTGGGGCCGGTGTGCGTACCCTTATAAAAATTCATGTTTAGAATTCTAAAATGCATGGCAATTCGTGGCACGTTACCGAGCGGCGTATCCTGTGTGCAACCCCCTTTAGACTGTTAAAAAGAGCTATTCAAATCATATTGTAAAAACTGTATTCATATCACAATATTTATCACAGAAAAATCTAATATTGCAGCATCTGATTTTTATTAAATAATATATTTGACTATATAATCATTTCTAACAGGTTTGCATTCAGTCCTAAAGCTTAGTGTTTTTTAGCATCTGTTTCAACTACAATTGTGACCTGTGTTCTTCATGTTGAAGTATGATTAATCTCACTGATTAGTAATAGAATTGTTTAGTATGCAATTTTTGGGGTGTGCAATATTGACAAAATTTTATCCCAAAATGTTTTTATTTCTCACACTATGGCCATTTTGTATTTTATTTATTTTAAACAGTATGGCCATTTTATTTTATTCTATTTAAACAGTTAGTGCAGTAAGATATATTTTTTTATTTAATTGATCAATCAATTAGTTATTTTATTTATTTATTTATTTTATTTTTTTATTTTTTTATTCAAACAGTTAGTGCAAGTAAGTTTTTTTTTTAACTTTAATTTAATTAATCAATCAGTTAGTTATTTTTTATTTTGATTTATTTTTTCTTTTCTTTTATTCTATTCAAACAGTGTCAGTAATATTTTTTTACTTAATTTAATTAAATCAGTCAATTATTTTTTAAGAGATTAGATTGCATTAGCATTAGATTGATCAATTGTTAAGATGTTTATAATCTTGCCAAAGCTTTTCATTAAAATGTGTTTATTTATTTATTTATTTATTTATTTATTTATTTATAATCTTGCCAAAGCTTTTCATTAAAATGTGTTTATTTATTTATTTATTTATTTATTCATTTATTTATAAGAATTCTCAAATAAATTAATAAATATAAATAATTTTCCACAAAAATACTAGGCTGCACAGCTGTTTAAAATTTTTATCATCAGAAATATTTCTTGAACGTCATTGTAATATCTTGAGTAATAATACTGAAAATTCTGCTTTAGCATTACATTAATAAATTCATTCTAAAATATTAAAATAAAAACAGCTTATAAGATAAAATGTTTCACAATATTATTTTTTGAATTCTGCTTTTTTATATAGATCCTTTTAAAGCTTAACCTAAATTGAATGTAAGATGGCTCTGAATTTGCACTATTTTAACCTCTAAAAAACAGTGAGCTTCGATCTTTCTTATAGCACGAAAGAGAATTAACCAGCAGGGATGCTCTTGGGTCTGTCCATTCATCCCCGTTATACCACAAACACTGTGCTAATTAATTTGTGCAGATCGCTAACAGCATTGTCAGGGATGTTTATCTGTAGTCCTGACAGCGTGCTAAAGCATAGGACGTAAAGTGAAAAAAATCCACATGTTTTGCCCTCTTCTGTCTCTCTTTCTCTCCGTTTAATCAGTCTCGCTCTGTCACTATCTCTCTGGAGATGTGTTTATATATTTATGGTGTTAATGATAAGATAAGCTTAGCTAAAGTGCCGTGTTTTCTAACATGGATTAATTGCGTTCGTACTTAGGTAAACTGATAAAGCGCACGCGGTGGGAACAGAGATTAGGAGATGTCACCTTTAGTGTGTGATAGTGTTAATGAAAGTGTCAAATTGCAGAACAACAGTTTGGTATACGGCTGTTTGGTTGTAGTTTTAACTGCTCTGCCAATTCCTGTTTTATTTATTTATTTGTTTAATTTCTAGATAATAAATCAACATTGGTAATACTATAATATTGGTATTGGTTATTTAAAGGCACAATATGTAAGATTCCCATTTTTTAATTGTAATATCCAAATATCCATGTATGTTGCTGTCTTGAAGGGCTCCTATTTTACCTCTTTTACAAGATGTATACATCTTTGGTGTCTGCAGAATGTGTATGTAAAGTTTCAGCTTAAAATACCCATCAGTTAATTTATTATACCCTGCTGAATATGTCAAGTCATGTTTATTTCTATAGCCCTTTTACTATGTAGATTGTTTCAAAGCAGCTTATCATAAAAGTTCTTGTAATTTGAAACTGTGTCAGTCCAGTTTTCAGAGTTTAGTTCAATTCAGTGTGGATTAATTTTCATTGCTGAAAGTCCAAACACTGAAGAGCAAATCCATCGATGTGCCGGTCCACAAGTCCCAAATATGTGAATTTTGGGATTACTTTGGTAAGATTACTTTGTGGCTGTTTTTGTTGCCTGTACCTTTAAATGCAAATGAGCTTGTTCTTTCCGCCCACCGTTCCCATGTGCGTGTTTCCTTCTCATGCTGCGTTCACACCAGACGGGCATGCGCAAATAAATCATGCTATTCATATTCAAAACGCGTGAACATTTTGAGTTTACTCGCTTCATTTGCACGTCAAATTCGCTTAATTCACACGTCAAATCTACTTCACAATGAACATGGATTTAGATCATGAGCGGGGTTTCTGTCTGCCTGGTGACTCTAGCTTTGTTGCTAAATGGCTAACATGGATTTTATTGACAGAATAGTTGTGTTTATGTGCTTTAGGAAGGCTGAAAAATAGCAGATATTCATTTGCTGTGTGTCTGATTCCACTAGATCATTTCAGAGGTGCACCCAGCTCTGCGTATTCATCATCTTCTCCAGAATCTATAGCTGGAGGATGGAGGCTTTCTGCAGTGCTTCTTTATGAACCCTTTATGAGAAACTTTATGAGAAATAAAGTTGTAAATATGTGCCCTCTGGTGGTGAAAATTACATACTGTGCCTTTAAAGTTTTTTTTGTAGTATATTAATATAAATTAAAATAATGACCAGTGGTTTACCAATGCTCAAAACACTAATATAATATTATAATATTTATAACATTACAAACTTTAAAATATTATAAATGAATTATTTTATTTATTTAAATTTAACATAAGTGATTAAATGTAAAAAATGTTTTCAGTTAGCTGTTATAATGCTGATCTGATCATTAAGATCAAATGTTAGTAAAAATAATAAGCATGGGCTATATTTTAGGCACAAAGTCTAAAGCGTATGGTGTAAAAGCATTAAGAACGTGTCTGAATCCACTTTTGCTATTTAAGGATGGAAAATACATTTTGCACCCCGGCGCACGGTCTAACAGGGTTGTACTTAATCTCCTAATGAGTGTGGGTGTGTTTTGAGCATTATGTGCATTAAACCAATCAGAGACTGATCTCACATTCCTTTTAAGAGTCAATTGGGATGCGCCATTGCACATTTGCTATTTACATGGCGGACTTTGTACTTCACTTGTGAGAAAACAGTTAAACAGACCATCTGCAGTGTGAGAATAAAGATTGAGCGTCCTCTATTCAGCCTCTTTACTTTACTTTTATTCTTTATTTTACTCCTTTACTTTACTCCTAAACCTTCGTGGATGAACAGTGTTGTCTACATACTAATTACTACATATTTAATTTAGTTTAAGCGCAAATATTTGTTTCAAAACTATTTCTAATTCTGTTGTAATTTCCAGCAAATTAATAAATTGAATAATAATAATAAAGTGTGGTCAAAAACTGATTATATCCAAACACGCATCCTGTTCTTATGCCCCATATGGTGATGTATACGTCTCTAAAACCTGACAAGTGGACAAATGTAAACTTATTTTTACTAAAACAAATATAAATATGCATATAATAACTAATACTGCTACTGATAATAACATTATACAAATGTAAATTGTAATGAACAAACTGAAAAAAAAACCCAGAGATGAAGAAAGCATGGAGGCAGTGTTTTTTATATTTATGTAGAAAATAATAATTTTGTGACATTTTAATCCTTTAATTTTTTTCATATGTAAAGATATTTGTGTATTGGTGTACATCCCGTGTGTGTTAAGCAAAGCATTTGGACTTGCATAAGTGCACAACTAACACGCTCTGTGCTGGACTTTAGACCAGCTTTTAGTTGGTTGATGGGGCGCGGTCTATTTCAGTTCCTCAAAATGGCAACACACCAACAATGCGCCATAACACACCTCATTTATAGACCGGAACAACCATGAGTCCACAAATTTTTTTTTTAATTTGCTATTTAAACAACGTGGCGCAAAATGGGAAAATCAGGGTTGCGCTGGTCTAAAAATAACAAAAAATCG